CAAAATAAAATTGACAGATTTGTGTGTTTTGCAGGAACTTAGTTGGTGTTAAAAAATAATAATAGTAATAACAATGTGAAGTACATCCTGAACTATTGTAAGCTTCTCTTTTAGGACCTTTTAGGCTTCTGAGGTAATGTTTATAATGATGGCATTGGAAAAAATATTAGACAGATTACTTTCCTGAGTTAATATACTGAATCTAACAGTCAAGGATCGGAAAATTCATCTCATGCTTGATGCATATCAATTTGGTGAGTGACTTGTTATTACCTAACCCTCTATGACATGAAGAAAGAGGTTATCAACAACCTCATTTGCAATAACGGCGACATCTATAATTGGTCTGCCTCTAAAGCATGCTAACATTCACCCACCATCTTAACCACAACTCTGGCCAATCTTCTTGTTACGACCTTTGCTATAATTCTGCAAACTCCAACCGCCAAATTGATTGATCTAAAATCTTTAATGCTGACCACCCCTGCAAGTGGAATCAAGGCACCTCATGAAGGATCCAGTTTGATAAAACTCATAAAAAATGTAACAATATTGTTCCTTTGGGTTCCCCAATCTTCTTGAAAGAAACTGATATTGAGATGATCTGATTCTGGGGCTTTATCTCCCTTGCAACACATAAGAATTTCAAGAATTTTCTCTTCCAAAAAAATTTTCTCAAGAAATGAACAATCCTGCTCAATAATTCTATTGAAACTCCCATCCAATGATGGTCTCCATGGCTCAACTTCAGTTACAGCTCTTCACCACAATACCATCAATCTTTAGCTCCTCAATATAATTGCATCTTCTATTGTTGGTTTATGCAGCGGTGGAAGAATCTCATACGTTTATCTTCTACCTTGATCCATTTGTCTCGATCTTTGCTTCCAAGTAACTTACCTCTTTAGAAGCAGGTTAGCTGTGAAGCTGGAATTCTACCTTTTTAGATGTTCGATCTTGAATACTTAAGCCTTGAGAATCGAGAGAACATGTTTAGTTAGTTATTTTTTCCTTAATCCTTTCTAACAACACTCTTTGAGGACCAAATCAAGTTTATATATGTAACAGCTGGAGCAAAAGTTATTGTAGAATCTATCTTATTGTTTTGCTTTAATCTGTTTTATCTCCAGTCCTTGTTCAATTCCTCTCTAGGAACTTTCTAAAGTAGTTTGATATGGAGCTGGTGCTAGCAAATAAAAGTTAGGTTTGAGCTTTTTAGGCTCTCATTATGCCCCAGCGATTGGAGAATAAAAAAAAAAAATAGAAAGCAAAAAAAGCAGTAGCAGAAGAGGAAAAAAAAGAGATAGGAGAAAACAATATTATGGTGTAGGCCTGGGCCCCACAGAGGCGACAAAATCTAAGCTGATCTTCTTGAGCATTTTTAATTCATTAGATTTGATTAGATTATCTAGGTTAGGACTTTCAAATAAGATAGAATATGAATAATTTGATTTGATGTCTGAACTATCTAAAGATCATTAAAATTAAAAATTTGGTATGCATTGTGTTTTTTATTATTACAAGTGGACTACGAGTTTATTAGTGTCTGTCAAAAGGAAAGCTTATGATATGGGGACTACGAGTTTATTAGTGTCTGTCAAAAGGAAAGCTTATGATATGGCTTACTCATAATCATGTAAATTGAGGTCGTAGATTATTTTCACTCTAGCTGTCAATGGACTCTTTTTGACGAGCCCTAAACAGTAATTTCACACATCTCAAGCCATAACCTGATCTGAAATGCATGGTTGTGAAAATGTTGTACTTTTCTCATGCTCCAATTCTAATTTCAAGCTTGATGCTGTCTAAACATTTAATCATTATTTTACTAAATTATCGAGATATTTACCAGAGCCTAGTAAGTCAGACAGCAGAGCAACCCATTTGGTGTCTTTTAATGGGTGTTTGATCATGAATAAAAGAACCAAATTTTGAGCTCATGATTTAGAAAATTTTGTTAGAAAAGTTCCGACTGGTGTAGATTGCAGCAATTAGATCATATTAGACTTTTCAATATAGTAAGTATAAATAAATAGATAGATAGATAAATAGAGAGACAAAGAGAGAGAGAAGGGAGATTAATAAATTTCATCAACTTTTTGGTTGATGAATTTTATTTGATAACAGAGAGAATAAGATTTTGGTAATGGCCCTCTTTAAACAAAATAACAAAAAAATTTATTTATGAAGTAACATATTTAGGTATCTGATTCTCTCTAGTCCTGATGGCAAAACTCAAGGCTCCCCCAGCTTTATTAATTGTGTTCTTCTTCCCTTTATCCATCTCAGTTGATGCTAGCAAAGACAAAAAGACGAAGAACAATGTTAATCAATGTCCAATTTTTTGAAAGCATATATGCGTGTAAGTACGTGACGAAGAATGTGTAGAGGTGTATGACTAATTAGTTAGACTTACTTTTGACAGTTGGTGTTCTTTGAGATAGGAATATTCATTTGAACGCCGCACTTGGCAGGGAGAGAAGAGGCTGCATCTTCCTTGATATTGGGATAGCGAGCAGCAGCTTCCTTAACGCAGTTGCATGCGGCTTGGCGGTCAGTGGTGGTAGGGGTGATGGCCTTGAGGTTCTTGACACCATCACAGCATGATGCTGCCGGTGTGCCACCTGCTGTGAGATAGGGAATGCATGCAGCCAGTGATGCATTGACTTGGGCACAAGTCACAGCCGCTTCTCCTGGCTTAACCAAAAGCTGAGCCATCACTATCATCAGCAACATTGATACAACAGCACCCTTCATTTTGCTGGCAATATACTGTGAACTATGAACCCCGGATCACTGTTAACTGCCTCTTTTTTTTGTATGCGTGGGTTTTGAAGTGAAATTGCTGGATATATATAGCATTTTTGAGTATAAGAAAGTAAGTGCTTGTAGGTCATGCCATGACAATGGCAGTTACTGTGCTTTGTCATCTTGTTTGTCTTGCAACATCTTTTGGTTACTTAAAATAGGAAATGGGGATAACCTAATGATATTTACATTATCTCATGCACTTTCTGTTAGGTCTATCTTGCTTGGCCAATCACTTACCAGCATGGCTGATAGCTTGGGCCAAGCACCATGGCTGATCTTATTTTATTTTTTCCAGCAACTTGGTGCACAGTATAAGATAATTGGATTTGCAAGAAAAAAGATAACTATGTTTTAGATATTGGAGAGTAAATTATTAAGGTTTCATCTGAGTGTAACAGAGATTATATATATGCATATATATGGAGAGAAAGACAGAGTGCATGTGTCTGCGTGTATATACGTGCATGTATGTATCTCTTTTTTTTTTTTAATTCTAACAGTGAATGTAGATAAGCCTAATAATATAATCGTCAGTGACTTTTTTTGTTGAGTACTTAGTGTGTAAAGCCGATTAGGGTGATTGATCGTAAAAAAAACATAATAACCATAAAGGAAGGTTAATAAAGTTTGGATAGCTCTGTTTCAACAGAACTCGTGAGTCAGCTCTAGAAGAAGAGGCGAGATTTACACTTAGGACACCTGATTTTAATGCTACCTGGACATCACAATCCCCTGGATTTTTTAATGTATTGTCCAGAATCATCTAGGCCACACTTGGATATAATTCCCTTCCTCCACAGACTCATTCTCTCTCTCATGAACTTCTAGAGCCATTTACTTCTTTTCTTTTACTCTTTTTTTTGGATAAAAGAAGAAACTTCATTAAAATATGGAGGAAAGGAAGTGATTACAGAAATGGAAGAATAAGACATTCTCTAGGAAAGGAAACAAAAATGAAAATAAAGATAGCATAGATATGAACTCCAGCTACAGCCTTATTTTCTAGATAAGATGCCATCCAAATAGCGTGGAGCTCCAAAATAGTACTCTCTGGGAAATAACTATGTGCTTTGGCCCAAAGAGAGGCCATCAAAGGAAGCCTCTCAGTAAGCTCATAGTAGGACAGTAACCGATCGTTGAAGATCCACTTATTCCTTCCTAACCAAATACAGCAAAGTCCAGCAAAAATAGCACCTTGCCATGGAGGTTTAGCCTCTTTCTTACTCCAACACCGTAAATACAGGATTTCACAAAATTATCCAGAATAGGGGTTACCACCCAGCTGAGGCCAAATTTCCTCATAATATCACAACACATTCACCAAGCCATAGAGCAGTGTAGGAATAAGTGAGAGTGGGTCTCACCTTTTTCTAAGGTATGTCACACGTGTGAATAGATAAGGCACAGTGAGGGCGACGGTTTTGAAGCAAGTCCATTAGAGTACCTTCGCCTTTGAAGGAACTCTAGCTTTCCAAAACATCTTGGTTATCTGAAATTGTGTGGCATTGAGGTTATTTATGGGGTAATAGTAAAAAGACCTACATGTAAATAGGTAAGAAGATTCAAGGGTCTATAATCAGGTATCTGGTTGTGAGTTCATATTTACGGGTTCAAGTATGTTCAATAATATGGACAAGTCAGCAGTCTCCCTATTAGATAGGTCCATAATTGCATGCCTGGTTGCAAGTTCATATTTATAGGTTCTAGCATGTTCAATAATGTGGACAAGTTAAGAGTCTCCCTATCAGATAGATTATGATTAAAGCAAAAGTTCCATGATAGGCTACCCCCAATATGAATAGTGAGACCAGAGAAATAGGCATTATGTCTGGTAGATAACTTTTTTTTTTGAGATAAAAGTATAGAAAATATATTGATGTGAAGGCACCGACGAAGCACCGACCATGTACAAAAGAGTTACAAGTCAATAAGTATATTTACAATTGACCCTAAATCGTCAAAATGGTTAATGTTATGTTCCAGTACAGTGGAACCAAAAAAATGGAGCCATTTGTTCAAGATATTTCCAAAAATTTCTTCCTTGCCATCAAAGGCTCTATTGTTTCTTTCGTTTCAAATTACCCAGAAAATAGTAGATGGTATAAGTTTTGAGCTTCTTGTTCTTCTTACAGACAGCTTCCCAGGCGAGCCGTTCATCTTTTACAGAACTAGCCATTACCCAACAAATGCCAAGAAGACCATAGACCGTAGTCCATAACATATCAGTTATGGGACACCACAGCAGAAGGTGGTTGCTGGTTTCGGAGTTATGCTTGCAGAGGAAACATCTGTTAGTTAGAGTAATGCCTCTTTTCATGAGGTTATCAATGGTTAGGATGCGTTATTTGGATGCGTCCCAAGTGAAAAAAGAAATTTTGGTTGGGGCTCGTCATCCAAACCATTTTAGCTGGAAAATCCCCTCGTTTCATACTGTTATGGCCAGCAAGATGATTGTAAGGATTTGACACTGAAGGAGCCGCTATTTTTAGACGACCAAGACAGTTTGTCTTCATTGTTGTTAAGCTGAATGTTCTCCAATAAAACTAGCAAAAGCTCATATTCTTCCACTTCCCAATCTTGCAAATTTCTTCTAATCACCACACTCCAACCCATACCATTATTTCTGTCTAAAGCTAACTAGGATAGTCTCAGGAATAACTAGTATGGTCTCAGGAATTTTGTGGCAAGTGGTTGGTCTCCGAACCAAATATTTTCCTAGAAGAGTGTTCTAGAGTCATTTTTCACTTGTAGAAATATGTTAAACTCTATCAATGATCTCATACCCAAACTCTATCTTCGATCAGATGTCTGGTATATAACTAGTATAGTCTCAGGATTTTTGTGGCAAACGGTTAGTCTCCTAATCAAATATCTTCCTAGAAGAATGTTCTAGAGTCATTTTCCACTTGTAGAAATATGTTAAAACTCTATCAATGATCTCATACCCAAACTCTATCTTCTATCAGATGTTTAACCACATCCCAAGTCCACTAAGTGATACTTCTGTTGCATCAGCTCTAATTCCTTTGTCATACTAACTGAAATAGTGGACAAGGATATGAAATAAATGGTAAAATTGATAAAAGTAAACTCATTTTCCACCCATGCTAGTCGAGACACAAATTTACTTACCACCAGGACTTGATGAGAAGTTTCTTTGAATCTAACCCCAAGAGAAAGACCAAACTATTTAACAAGAAGATTCCCCAGATTGTTGTCCTCTCTGTTTACACCTACCTCGACAAGCTCAGATTTTGCTAAATTTCTATTATAGAATCTATCTTATTGTTTTACTTTAATTTGTTTTATCTCAAGTTCCTTTTCAATTCCTCTTTAGGAATTTTGTATATTAGTTTGATATGGAGCTGGTGCTAGCAAATAAAAGTCAGGTTTGAGCTTTTGAGGCTCTTGTTATGCCCCAGTGATCGGAGAAGAAAAAGAAAGAGAAAGCAAAAAAAGCAGTAGCAGAAGAGAAAAGAAAAGAGATAGGAGAAAACAATATTATGGTGTAGGTCTGGGCCCCATAGAGGAGGCAAAATCCAAGCTCATCTCCTTCAGCATCTTTAACTAATTAGATTTAATTGGGTTATATAGGTTAGGAGTTTCAAATAAGATAGAATATGAATAATTTAATTTGATGTCTGGATCATCTAAAGATCATTAAAATTAAAAATTTGATATGCATTGTATTTCTTATTATTAATAGTGGACTACGAGTTTATTAGTGTCTGTCAAAGGGAAAGCTTATGATATGGCTTACTCAAGCTTATGATATGGCTTACTCATAATCATGTAAATGAGGTTGTAGACTACTTTTAACTCTAGCTGTCAATGGATTCTTTCTGACGAGCACTAAACAGTAATCTCAAGCCATAACCTGATCCAAATGCATGGTTGTGAAAATGTTGCACTTTTCGCATGCTCAGATTCTAAATTCAAGCTTGATGCTCTCTGAACATTTAATCATTATTTTACTAAATCATCAAGATTTTTGCCCAAGCCTAGTAATTCAGACAGCAAAGCACCCCTTTTTGGTGTCTTTTATGGGTGTTTGTCCCTGTTATGAATAAAAGGACCAAATTTTGAGCTCATGATTTAGAAAATTTTGTTAGAAAAATTCCTACCGGTGTAGATTGCAGCAATATGATCATATTAGATATTTCAGTGTATTATGTACATATAAAGCTGTAGATAGATAGATAAATAGAGAGGGAAAGAGAGAGAAGCAGGGAGATTAATAAATTTCATCAACTTTTTGGTTGATGAATTGTATTTGATGACAGAGAGAATAAGATTTTGGTGATAGGCCGCTTTAACCAACATGACAGCAAAATTTCTAATTATGAAGTAACATGTGTAGGTATCGGATTCTCTCTAGTCCTGATGGCACAACTCAAGGCTCCCCCAGCTTTATTAATTATGTCTTCTTGCCTTTATCCATCTCAATTGATGCTATCAAACACAAAAACACAAAGAAAAATGTCAATCAATGTCCAATTTTTTGAAAGCATATGTACATGAGCAAGAATGCGTAGAGGTGTATGACTAATTAGTTAAACTTACTTTTGACAGTTGGTGTTCTTTGAGATAGGAATATTCATTTGAATGCCGCACTTGTTAGGGAGAGAAGAGGCTGCGTCTTCCTTAATATTGGGATAGCGAGCAGCAGCTTTCTTAACGCAGTTGCAGGCGGCTTGGCGGTCAGCAGTGGTAGGGGTGATGGCCTTGAGATTCTTGACACCATCACAGCATGATGCTGCAGGCGTGCCACCTGCTGTGAGATAGGGAATGCATGCAGCCAGTGATGCATCGACTTGGGAACAAGTCACAGCCGCCTCTCCTGGCTTAGCCAAAAGCTGAGCCATCACTATCATCAGCAACACTGATACAACAGCACCCTTCATTTCTGCTGGTAGTATACTGTGAACTAGGAACCGCTAATCGCTATTAACTACCTCTTCTTTTTTGTGTGTGTGTTTTGAAGTGAAATTGCAGGATATATATCTATATAGCATGTTAGAGTACAAGAAAGCAAGTGATTGTAGGTCATGCCATGACAATGGCAGTTTCTGTGTTTTGTCATCTTGTTTACCTTGCAATATCTTTTGGTTACTTAAAATAGTAAATGGTGATAACATAATCACATTTATCTTATCTTATGCACTTTCTGTTTGGTCTATCTTGCTTGGCCAAAGGCTTACCAGTACGGCTGATTGCTTGTGCCAAGGCTTACCACCATGGCTGATCTTAATTTATCTCTTCCAGCAACTTGGAGCACAGTATAAGATAATTAAATTTGCAAGAAAAAGATAATTATGGTTTAAATATTGGAGAGTAAATTATTAAGGTTTCATCTGAGTGGAACAGAGATTATATATATATAGAGAGAAAGACAAAGTGTGTGTGTGTGTGTGTAGACGTGCATGTATATATCTTTGTATTTTATTCTAACAATGACTGTAGATAAGGCCAATAATATAATCTTCAGTAACTTTTTTTATTGAGTACTTAGTGTGTAAAACAGAATAGGGTGATCGATTATATCAAAAACATAATAACGATAAAGGAAGGTTAATTAAATTTGTATAGCAGAGTTTCATCAGAACTGATGAGTCAGCTCTAAAGAAGAGGTGAGATTTACACTTAGGACCTCTGGTTTTAATACTACCTAGAATAATGGTATTGGATTTTTTCTTATTAGTTTAATATTTCAAAATAATCAATCATCTATGAAATTGTTGTATAACTTACATTGGAACTTTTGATACAACTGAGTCAATTATACATATATATTTTAAAATTATATGATGGTTTCGTAAACTAAAAAAATAAATATTTTTTACTTATTTACATATTATATTTCAATGCCTATTTTCAGTTCTTACACTGTCAGATTTTCTTTTTACCAAACCTCTCGCTTTTTTCTGTTTCACAAAATGTATCTCACTGTTTCTTAAAGAAGACAACTCCGTTCTTAGTTCCCCTCCCCCTTCTATTAGAACAGAGAATTGCCGCACTTCATAATTACACCAAGGAACATCAGTGGAGTTATTGAACTAAATAATGCTGCATAAAAAAAGACCTAATTTTAGTCCCCAACAATATTCCTCATTGAGCTTATTCTTAGTATGTTATAGAAGATGCATGCAGGTAATAGATGTGAATTTTCTGGTGCAACTATGATTTCCCTTGCTTATTTGAATTCAACTTGTAGATGGAACAGGGTACATGCTAAATTCTTTTTATTAAAGAACCAATAGAAGCCCATTTTTTATAATTCTTTAAAGTAATCTAACAACCGAGATTCTTTCTTGGATCAACACCATGTTAAACTTATTTCGCATTAATTGATGTCTAAGTTTTTTTAAGTAATTTGCATGTGTGACTGTTGAATCAACAGTTTACAATGGAAAAATAAGCAGAAGAGTTAAGAGTTTGCATTTTAATGTTTTACTTTTGGAACAACTTTATCTGGTTATATTTATTTATTTTTCTCATTAGTTGATTCCAATTTGTTTGATGCATAAAATTATCACCACAACTGAATAATGAAAAAGAATCAGAACTCTGAAGAGAGGAAAAAAATAGCTTCATTGTGATGGACTTATGCAATTTCCTTAATGGATGTTCTTTCTTTTCTGATGTTTCAACTGTAAAGGTCCTGTTGTGATATTTTTTATGGGGCTCTTTTAGGGCTATGATATTCTTGTTGGGGCTTTTTTAGGGCTTTTAAGACAATGTTTATAATGATTACACTATAAGAAAAATAAGCTTCTTTTGTGTTGATAACTGAATCTATAGTATCTAACAGTCAAACAGACAACTATCTATCTCATACATGGTGCATATTGATTTACTGGGTAACTTGTTTTTTCGTAGTCCTTTGTAACTTATACAAAGTGATCAATACCTTATTAACTTTACATACAAACAACTAGATTTACTGATATTCTGTGTTTATTGGGCATGTATGCAATGTGGAACTTGTTTATTTATTAATTTTTTCTTTATCCTATCCGACTTAACTCTGTTAGGACCTAATCGACTTTATATGTGAACAACCCAGTTAGAAGTAGCTGTTATTACATAATGAACTTATAGGTTGGTCCTTTCCTCCAGGTGTAGTGTTGCAGCAAATGTGATCTTATATTAAATCTGTTACAGAGAGAAAGTGTATGCCTTGACAGAGAAACATTGATAAATTTCATCAATTTTATTTCTATAAGATAAGGTAGATAATATGATTTTGGTAATGGCTGGCTTCTTAACCAACTTAAGAAAAAAAAAAAAGTTTATTTATGAAGTGACATATTTAGTCTCAAATTTTCCTTAGTCCTGATACAACAAAAAAGATGGCAAAACCCAGAGATGTCCCAGCTTTATTCTTGTTGCCTCTGTTCATCCTCAGTTGATGCTGGAAAATCATAAAAGAAACAATGTCAACCACTCTCCAATATTTTACAAACACATATATGTATATATATATATATACACACACATGTATGTACGAATGTTTGTGTATATATACACATATGGGTGCGTGTATGCATGTGCGGATGTAAGTGGCTAGCAGAATCACTTCTGACAGTTGGTGTCCTTGGAGATAGGAATATTCATTTGCACCCCACACTTGGTAGGCTGCATCTTCCTTGATATGATAGCGAGCAGCAGCCTCCTTAATACATTTGCAAGCGGCTCGGCGATCAGTGGTGGTAGGGGTCATGTCTTTGAGATCCTTCACACCGACACAGCATGCTACTGTGGGCGAACCACCAGACATGAGGTAGGGAATGCATGCAGCCAGTGAGGCATCAACTTGGCTGCAAGTCACAGCTCCATCTCCTGGCTTGACCAAAAGCTGAGCCATTACCATCACTACCAACATTGACACCGCTGCTCCCTTTATTTTTCTGGTACTATACTTTGAACTGTGAACCACTAGTCACTATTAGCTGCCTTTTTAATTTTTTGTGTTTTGAAGTGCGATGGCAGGGTGTATATATATGAGCATATCAGAGCTGAAGAAAGTTAGAAGTTGTGGGTGTGAAATTGGCGAGAAGATTGTATTTTTTGTTGATTAGGAAGGCAAAAAATGCTCTTCCTTTTATAGACATAATGCAACTTAGAGAGGGAAAAAATTTCAGCTATAGAACAAATATACACCCTGATTTATAGAAAGAAAGTTAGATGCCCATAATTACAAAATATATGGCCATGTATCCCTAAAAATCAGGTAACAGATTTTCTTGGATTAAAATTGCTGATTCTCTAACACTCCCCCTCAAGCTTGCTGGAAGATGTCATTCATGGCCAACTTACTCACCAATCTATCTAA